ATGCCTGGGTCCTGCGATAACTCCAATAACCTGAACACTCTTGGACAATGCTCATGTTTTAGCTTTAAGCGTAGTTGTGAGAGTGAAAACTGCAGGGAGGCTCTGGGAAAGGGTCAAATAAGTATCCCCAAGATGGATCTAGCCCAGCGTGTTACCCAGCAGGCAGCCTCGTGAAACTCACGAAGACAGCCCAGTTAACAGCCTCATTTTAAGATAATATCCCAGACAACATTAAAACTTTATTCCTTTCTCCTCATTTCTTTTAATTCAAAGCTCAGTAGGGGAAAATTTTGTAATTTTGCTTCATCCTCTGACTGAGGTCCAGGAGAGTTTCAAGTGAGCATTTCCAATGTCCTCCTCAAAAATAGGATCAGGCCCTGGGATGACAACAAACTGCATGTCTCCAATGTGAAATAGGTTTTAGTCTTGCATTATGTGGTATGGGAGCATGACTTTTCTGTGGGAAAGGGTGGATTTCCTCTCCCAAACATGGGATAATTCGTCTGCACTCACTCATATATTCCCCACAGAAATAAGGTGCTCTGACCATCTCAGATACCTGTGAGGCATTCCTCGTGCTCCTGTGGTCTCCTTTTAGTCTGCAAAACTGAACGAACACTCTTGTGCAGAGAAATGTGAATTGTGGAGAGTCTGTGAGAAGCTGGCCACTGGGATTCCCTGTACGTGAGGATGCAGACCCTTTGCTGCCTGCCTGAGAGCCTTAGACCTGTTCTTTGAGTGTCAGCTGGAACTTGTAGCTGTTACCATGGCACAAAGAAATGAATAATTGTAATTATAACTGGGAGAAACTGGGGAAACTTGCCTGGCTTGGAAAAGTTTGTGCTGAGGAGACTTTGGAGGCACACCAGCAAGCTGAGACTCTCTCCTTGTACCTTGCTCCCTGCAGGCAGTTTGCACTGTTCCCCAGCGTGGGCTGCTGTTTAACCTAAGGGGCCTGCTGTTGGTAATTACAGCTTGCAGGCATTGAGAGCGGTTTTCCCCAGGGCTGCTGGGAGGGGTAAGCTTGGAAAAGGATGAGGAGGGGGGGAGGAAGAAAAGTTTTGCTGTGAATTCTTCAGCCATTTAGTGCAAATTCCTGTAATTACCGTCTTTGTGTCCTGTCCCAATGGCACATAATATAGCAGAAGCCTTTCCTAATTGAGACCTTACAGGAGGTACAAATCCCTCCTTTGTTCGGCCTGACAAATTAGTGCCAGAAAGTGGCAAGGTCCGAGTGGGAATCAAAGGCAAGCAACACAAAGATGGAACTTAAGGCTACAGTAATAACCCTCTCTAGTTCTGCAGTGGCGGGAGGGAAGGAAAAGTAATGACCAATGAAAAATGAAGGGTTTTTTTGTTATAAATTCCCTTGACGTGACAGCACCTCAGGGCTGCTTTATTTATTTAGGAAAAGTGATTAAATAGTAATACAACAGGGCAGACCATTGTCTCTCGAGCTACCCCCCTTCCTGCAGACCCCTGCTGCCTTGGCTAATTGATTGACAATGAACCTCTGATAAAGAAGGTTGTTGGGAGGACCTGATGGGGACAGGGTTGATTTTTTTTTTATTATTTTCTCTTTGCAGTCTTTGTGGGGTTCCCCTCACAAATTTTTCCCTGTTTGAAATGCCCTCTGCATCCCCCTTTCCTTTTCTCCCTCAGTAAAAGCTTTTCAAGGGACTGCTCCCAAACAGCTTACACTCACAAGCAGGTAGGGAAAAGTGCAAATGCCTGTGCCTTGCTATTGACAAGTTTATCTTGGAGTCTGACTACTGCTTTTCAACTCATGATATAAGCCAGGGTGGTGGTGTCAGATGTAGTCATGGAGTGGGGGGACAAACTGTTGATACACTGGAGTTGGAAGGGCAGCTTGAAAAAAGTTTTCTTTTGCTTGATCAGCAGATACAAAGGCTTTTCCCCACATTTCTAACTCTTTGTCTTAATGGGGAGGGCAGGGCATTATTTCTCCTAATTTCCAAAGATGAATGAATAGGCCACTGATTAACAGTGGAGAGGAATGTTTTTTAGAAACACTTTCACCTTTGCTGCCATTATTTATATTTTTGGCTTGGAACAGCAATACGTTTTGGAACATGAGGTTAACTAGAAACTGCTGGCACTAGAATGGCAGCCTCCTCTGTCCTTTGCATGCTCATATAACTGCAAGCTTGATCTTGCCCTGTTGCTGGGGTACAGCAGTGTTCCCGTGGGAAGTGTTTGGGGCTCTGAGCAAGAGTGGCGTTTGTGAGCATCAATCTGCTCAGGTGAGACTTTGGAGGGACCTACCCCTTGTCTTCAAATGGGTATGAAGTGAAAGTTGGTTGCAAGTCCAAGGTGGTAAATATCAGGTTTTATGATTTGTTCTTTAATATGTAGGAAATGAAACATGCGTCATGTTAAGACAATCTGTTGGGGTTCTGTGTGTTATTATTTTTTATGTCTTTATTTCACCTCGGTTCAAGAGAAATCCCTGGACTGTTCATGTTACAAATTTGGGATGAGGTGGCTTCCATCAAAACATGTTTGGCAAGTGCAGCATCTTGCAGACAGCGGTAGCTGGTTGTAAGTACTCCGGTGGCTGTCCTGTCTCCTTGTTGGGCCATCTGGGGAAAAGCAAGTGTTTATCCTGGAGGTCTGCAAGGAGCAAATGTCCTCAGGTGCCCTTCACTATTGCTATTCCCTTGGAACGTGCCGTCACATTTCCATAGATGAGGAAGACAAACGGCTTCTGCCCTTGCCTCTGGTTTTTGCATAGCTCCTGTTCTTTTGATGTCTCTCTTCCTTTTCACCTTTTATTTTTTCTCTCCCTGTCCTTTATAAAAAGAAACATTTTTTCCAGACAAGTCAGTTGTGTCTGCCAGGAACTCTTGTTGCTTAGACAGCAAGTCCTAATGGATGTGGGAGTTTCTGCCTTCTGCAAAATGTGCTCTGCACCCTTTTATTTGTCTGTGTTGCTTTCCTTGCCCCTCTTCTGGGGTGCCTTCTGTCTTTTCCTCCCTGCTTTCTCCATGTATCCTCACTTGCCAAAAGGATAAATACTGCTATTAGAGCTACACCGACTTGGCTGGCTGAGCTGAACACGAGGTGCAGAGAAGCCACGGTTAGTAAATGTGCTATTTCCTGAGCTTGCAGCCCTGTCAAATTGAGCAGCATGTGGAAAGCTGTTGGCTTTCAGGGAGTCATTCTGGCTCTAGTGCTGGGATCATGTGTGTAGATGGGGGACAGTCGTGCAGCCTCTGCTCTAGCTCACCCCACTGGTCTGAACCCAGCCCCTACTGCGGTAAAAGTAAAGTTCCTTCCCACCCACCCCACCCCCAATGAAAAGAAAGTATTTTCCTAAGAGCTTGCAAGCCAGCAAGTGTGATTGAAAAAAAAAAAAAAAAGAGGAAAATAAGATTAGCCAGATGCCATGTTGACGTTGTTCAACTTCTCAAAAAAGCCATATAGTTGAAATTTCTCAAATCCAGATAGTTGAAAAGCATGGGTGCTCCTTCCTTGAATTTAGCAAATGCTTTGTGAACGGTCATCACACCCAGCACCTATTTGTAGCATGTCACTGAACTAAAAACACTCGTGGACAAATCTTAGCAAATGTAGCACAATAGTAAAATACCAGAAAGTCCTTTAGAAGGTTGTCGGCACTCTTGTAACATTTTTAGTCCCAAATAACAATTGTTCTCACCTGTCCAGGGCTTTTAGGATTGTGCTTTCTAAGTGCTGTATGTGTTTTGTGCTTGGTTTCATTTCAGTTGATCTCTTTGTTCCAAGACTTCAGCAGCTTTTTGCCTTCCCTGTGTTTGAGACTCTGTAAAATCCTCTGAGAATGTGTTTTGCACCGTAAAGGTTTTATTGTTTAAGTATCTTCACTTTAGATGACAGTCTTCCAGTCTTGGATGTGACTTTCAGGCCCTGTTTCTGTTGATTCAAAAGTAAAACTTCCACTGCTAACAGTGCTATTAAACTCTTATTCTTTGCTAGCCAAAACCAGCTGAGCAGAAAAA